TGCACAAATAATTCCATTTAGAAATTTTTTGCTTCAAAAAAAATTTCTAAATGGAGTTATTTGTGAACCAATTCATGGGGAATTATACCAACTAATAATATTGTCCAGAGGGAAAAATATAAATCGCTAACAATGTTCATAGGGAATGATCCTATTCTTTAATAATATCCTATGGGAATTATTTGTGTACTAATTATTACATCATATTAAAACATATTGAAATACTAGATAGCGCTGTTTTTTAGTAAATACACATATGTGTACAAAACCGTAAAACTCAGAATTTACATCTATCACTTCTAGTCATTAAAAAGTTAAAAAAAAGATTTTGGTAGCTATTTAGGACCTATAGAATGGGGATCAGTTGAGAGCACATTGAAATTTTAAAAAAAGTGTGTTTTTGGGACACCCTAATATTTATTAACCCAGATAAAACATTAGCCAAAAGAGCCTTTGATTATACCTTAAGACAGGAAAAAAAAAAGGAAAAATAGCTCTCTTCAAAATACAGATACCTTTGTTTATAGGATTCAGAGGCAACAGGTTGTCAAGATTAACATACAACAATAAGAAAAACCTATAAATGTTATATACAAACGCAACCTCATTAAATAAAAAACTAAGTGAACTTTCAGTATTAGCACAGTTAAATAAAATAGATGTTATAATGGTGTCGGAAATGTGGTTTAATGCCGAATCAGTTTCAAAGCTGGATGGTTTTAATATTTTTAGTAAGGACAGAATTAACGGACGAGGTGGTGGAGATTGTATCTATACACGAAAAGATCTTATAACTTTTGAAATTAACTCTATTCAAGTTATATATATAAAAAAGGTGATTATGTTAAAATGATAAAATATTTTAATTCAATTAATTGAAAAGCAGTATTTGGGGATAGAAATATCAATTAGTGTTATGACAAAATTATAGAATTATATATGGTGGCCTGTAACACATTCTAAAAAATATAGACAACCACGACATGCTTGGATTACATCTGATATAAAGAAACTAATTACTGAAAAAAAAAAAAAAATATATGGTCTAAGTTTATTGCATCAGGTAGAAATAATCTTGAATTATTAACAAAATATAAACTTATTAAAACTAAGACTCGACATTCTACTGAATTAGCTTTGAAACAATTTGAAAAAATTTGAACATTACTTAGCTAAAAGTTTCAAATCAGATCCTAAGAGATTTTATGCATGTGTGAACAACAAACAAAAGTATTAGAAAGGAATTCACACTTTAAGATTTCCAGATAAAGCTGTGAGTGATAACCTTTTAGATATTACAAGTTTGTTAAACACATATTTTCAATCTGTATTTACTGAAGACGATAACAAAGCCTTACCCAGTTTTGATCCTGTTACTCATGTTTACTGTGAAAATGATATAAACAAAATAATCAGTTTAAAAGAAATTCTTGTACAATTAAAATCATTGGATAAATACAAATCCTGTGGAAATGATGGTGTACATCTGTATGTATTGCCTGTTCTTTAAGTATTCTTATTGAACATATTTTAAAGCTATCACTTAAATCGGGAGTGGTACCAAAAGCATGGAAAGACTCAAACATAGTTCCAATTTTTAAAAATTGCGATAAGCTTGATCTTTCCAACTATAAACCTGTCAGTTATATGCAAAATTTAGAATGGATATTAAAAAAAACTATCATTCGACATCTTTTAGACAATAATTTGATAAATAAGAATCAGCATGGTTTTTTACCAGGTAAATCTTGCTTTACAAATTTACTTGAAAGCCAAGATATTGTAACTCTAGCAGTAGATAAAGATTATCCTATTGATATCCTCTTTACTGACTTTTCTAAAGCATTTGACAGAGTTCACCATAGAAAACTTATATTAAAAATTTTAATGTACGTTATAAAGGAATTCATTCTTAAATGGATTGAGTTTTTTATCAAATAGAAGGCAAAGAGTTGCTTTTGAAGACGTTGCTTCTATGTGGCTTAGTGTTTTAAGTGGTGTACCGCAAGGCTCTGTTCTAAGACCAATTTTGTTTTTAATTTATATTAATGATCTTCCAGATAAACTAAAATATAAATGCAAGCTCTATGCTGATGATTGCAAAGTTTCCCATATAATCCGTGATAACAGTAGTAATGATCTACAGGATATTTTATTCTATTCTAAAAATATTTTATTCTATTTTAATTGGTGTAATGACTGGAGTATGCAACTAAATATAGAAAAATGTAAAATAATGCATGTCAATAAAAGTAATAAATTAAATAAAAATATCAATAAATATTACATTTCTGATTATCAATTGAGTACTGTGAATTGTGTAAATGACCTTGGTATCATGTTTATAAGCGATCTGATATATGGTCATCACTTTGCGTCACACAATCTGCGTGTGTTTCTAAAACAAATAGAGTTTTAGATCCAACACATATTTTCATTTTTAAATGCTGATATATTTAAATTGTTATATGTTTCGCTAGTATGCCTTTATCTAGAATGTGCGTCTTCTATTTGGAATCCATTGTTAAAAAAGACATTAATCTTAATGAAGGATGTTTTTTCTAAAAAATATATATGCCTAATGCACTTTTAACTATTAGACCACCCAGCGTTGAATCTGAAAGAGTGTTTAATTCAACAGGTTGCTTTTGAAGATGTTGCTTCTATGTGGCTTAGTGTTTTAAGTGGTGCACCGCAAGGCTCTGTTCTAAGACCAATTTTGTTTTTAATTTATATTAATGATCTTCCGGATAAACTAAAATATAAATGCAAGCTCTACGCTGATGATTGCAAAGTTTTCCACATAATCCGTGATAACAGTAGTAATGATCTACAGGATATTTTATTCTATTCTAAAAATATTTTATTCTATTTTAATTGGTGTAATGACTGGAGTATGCAACTAAATATAGAAAAATGTAAAATAATGCATGTCAATAAAAGTAATAAATAAAAATATCAATAAATATTACATTTCTGATTATCAATTGAGTTATATTGTAAAGTCAACAGATGACTGTCTGATAATCTAGTTCTAAACTCTAAACTTTGTAAAAAAGGTTTACATTCTCTTGGTAATGAAGATCTTCCATTAAATGACGGATTTCTTTGTCATTTTGAGCTTTAATGCGCTATACCTGTAAACAAACAAAAAATAAAAGGAATAATAAACCAAAACAATAAGCAAACTGAGAAACATGAAACACATATCCTAAACATCTTAAAGCAACCTTTATATTAATGAGACTTTATTACACATGACAACCATGCTGCACATTTCATTTGTAAAAGACAAAATAAAAATTACCTCCTTCCTTTGTTAAAAAAAGACATTAATCTTAATGAACAACATAGAGCAACAAAACTAATTCCAGAGTTTCTTTATGAAGAAATCTATGGGAAGAGAAAGAAGCGATTTAATTAACTTTTTTAAATGTCTTAATAATTCTTATCAGCTAAATACAGTGTCTTCCCTAAGGAACTTTTGTTGACCAAGTGGACTAGCTGCAAGTGTTTGTGACTATATTCACAATCATAGATGTACTTCTGAGATCTGTAGACACTTGAGTAGAAGGGATTTTTTTTCCAATCGTGTTATTCCAATTTGGATCAATTTGCTGTGTGATGTTGAACTTAATAAGTCAGTTTTAAACTTTAAACCATTTTTACCATTCAGTAAGCATTTGCTCACCGCAGCAATTAAATAAATAAATAAAAGCTAAAAACCACATAATACAATAGTTTTTACTATAATAATAATAATAATAATAATAATAATAATAATAATAATAATAATAATAATAATAATAATAATAATAATAATATTAATAATAATAATAATTATAACAACAATAATAATAATAATATTTATTTAGAAGCTATGTTTAATGATAAATGATTTAAAAAAAAAAAAGAAAAAAAAAAGATCAAATATAGACATAACTATGTCAATATAAAGTGTCAATATTTTGCACACAATAAAAAATATATGTGAAAATCGATGAAAAACTAAGTTCACATAGAACTATAAATAATAAAAAGCGATTAACTTTAGTAAAGATAGTGGTACAACTATTTATGATAGTTGACAGGCATGAAATTGAAAACAAAGTTGTTGTCAAGAAAACAATAAGATCCTAAATAAAAACTTTACAGTGGTAACAATAGCAAAATGACTTAGCAATGTTAAATAAAATAAATAATCTTATCAATTCGATTGGCTAGAAATAAGCTCAAAGGAATTGTAAGGTTCCTTTGTACATTTAGAACTCTACACCTAATGAAATAACTAAATACTTCAATTGCGGTATAGATGTTAGCTTAGGAAATGATGACCAAAAGAAGAACACATTAAAAAACATATAAGATAAAATAAAGACAAGTGAAGTAATATTAGAAACTGTTTATGTCTTTAGGTGTGATGATGTTGTATGCTGGTTTGTTTCGTCTAGTCATCTGTTATGGTCATGTTATGTTTTCACCCACTTTCAATTCAGAAAGATGGATGAAAACACAGATCCAAGCACTTAGTCATTCAGCACTGGTCCGATGTGCATTGTAGAGCTATCAAATAAAAGTGTGCATGAGTGCTCAGTGTAGTCATTATGTTTTAACCAATTTAACCACATCCAGCGAATTAGCCTAATATACATTTTTGTTGTTGTGTATATTAGAAGTTGTGTATATTAGAAGTTGTGGCTCATCAGTTAAAATTTAAATTATTTGTATTGATTCTGTGACATCATATACATGTGACCAATGCCATTTGGTCAGGTTTTATTATTAAGTTCTCAGTAACTTATTTTATTTTTAAAATTTTATTTTATTTTATTCAAATTGTTAAGAAAAAACTAAATGTATTTTTAACTTTAATTGATAACTTTATTGAAACTTATTATGGCAATTTTCATCTTCACAACTCTTTTTCGGGGTTTTACATATTCTCCAAATTTTTTTATTGTGAATTTTTATATTTGATTTGTTTTAGTATTATTTTATAGTAATCCACCTCTGGAAGATGCAGATGTTCCCACTGGAGAGTGGATTTGCAATGAATGTAAACATGGAAAAAATGTAAATAAATGTTCTATTCTTTATAGAGTTATATATTCCATATAACAATAATATTTTTATCCTTTTAACTTTTTAAAAGTTAAAAGGATAAAAATATTATCCTTTTAACTTTTAAAAATTTTAATTTTTTTCTTGTTCTTTATAACTTTAACTGTTTGAATAATGTTTAGTAAATTTGTATTTAATTATTGCTATCCGAAGATAATGATAATTTTGCTTATATTTTCTTGAAGAAATTTTTTCCACTCAAAGTGTAACATACATTGTAGAGCATATGCTAAAGCATCATATATTAAAATTTGCATAGTAGTTTTCTAGCAAATGCTCTTTTTAAAAAAAAAATGGAAAATGTATTTAATCATAACTTTGGTTTGTTTTAAATTGGCATTAAAATCTTTACTTTATATCTCTACTTTACTGCATCTTTATTGATGATGCCCTATGATAATGCTTAGTTAAAATCCTATTGTATCATAGTTAATGATAGGGTAGCCTTCTGCTTTTTGTACTTAGTTATTTTGGAAGTTGTATTTTACAAAACCAGTTTACCAAGAAGACTTATACATTTCATTTCTGAGGATTTTTTGAAAACAAATACATTAATAATAAAACAATTTTTAATCTTTTTATTTTACAATTCAATCTAAATACATATTTACACTACTTTATTAGTGATGTTTGTTATTCTTTCATATCTGAGGATTTTTTGAAAACGAATACATTACTTTTAAAACAATTTTTTATCTTTACACTACTTTAAATTTAAATTTTTTATCTTTTCACTATATTTTTATTTATTCAATTTTTTATCTTTACACTACTTTAAATTTAAATTACTAGTAATGTTTGCTATTCTTATTTTCTGTTAAGTTTGATATTGCAGACCTTATTTGAAACTTGCAAACCTTATTAATGAATCTTTAATTAAATATTAAGTTGGAATGAAAAATGGAATTTGTTTAAGAACATTGTTGGTAAATACTTTAATTACAGTTTTTTGACCAGTTATTTACTTTATTTATTGAGAATGGAACACTAATAGGAGCTGTTATATGCGGATAACTTGTGGTAATTTGTGTTGAGCAAGGAGCAACTGGTTTACTTTTATGCAAATAATTTGTGGTGGTTTGTGTCAGCAAGGAGAAATTGGTTGAATAGGTAATTTTTGATAATTAGTGTGGAGTTAAGAAGGAACTGGTTAAATTGTTGGGAAGAAGTTGTTTTAAGAGAATAGAGACAAAATGCTTCAGATGAATATAGTAAGTCAAAAGTTTCAAATTGTCAAGTCACGACTAAGAAAGTATAAAATTCTAGAAAGTGTGAAGTTTGGAGGAAGTAAAAACAATATTCTTATGAAAAAGGATATCTATTATAGTAGTAGTTGTTTTACTGTTTTTTTTTTGACCGGAAAACCAGTGAGTATTCTTGCACTCAATGACAGCATAATTTATTAAATTGTCTAGATCATTTTGGTAAGTTTTGTTATTTAGAAAATATAATTGAATTAGTTGACGGAGCTGTCATCGAAAGCTACCATAAGTTGTATCTGCAAAGTTTAGAGACATTTCTCTGTTTTTATTAGTTATTATTTTTATTACCTTCGATATTCAAAAATGACCTAACTGTTGAAAAGTGTTTGAGGTAGCTGACCTTATTTTTATGTTGATAAGTGAAACCTTTGTGTTAAATATCTTGTGCTGACCTTGTGCCAACCAAAAATAGCTTTAGGTCATTTTACCTTATTGTTTTTGATTCCAAGGGCTGGAAATATTTTTGTATTTCTTTTTTAATGACTAATTTTTTTACAAAATCTAGTAGTAATCTGATGTTGTCATATTTGTTATTACTCTTTTTTTTTTTTTTCAATGAAGATTGATCAGACTTTTATTGGGTTGCAATTTGTTGATAAGTGTGTTAAGAGTGTATCTTCAAGTCGTTCTTCATCACCAGTTGATAGTGAAGCTGGAATGAATCCTTTTGAGAAATTAACGGCATTGTATCGAAATAAAAATCCCAGAGAGTTTCAACTTCCGATGAATATCCAAGAGTTTTATATAATGCCTGGTAAAATGTTTTATTAATAACATGTTTTATGTAGTGCATTTTGTTTTATGTAATACTTGATAACATGTTTTATACCTGATATAATGTTTTATACCTAATAGTAGTTAAATAAATTGTATTTATTTGTACAAATAATAACTATAGGAGATCGTAAAAGAAAGAAACCTTTGGATTGTAGTCGAAAGTAAGTTTTTTTACCCAAAAAAGCAACTACTTGTAGTATTTTTTTAATTTAAAAAAAAATTAAAAATTAATTCAAGATAATATTTCTAGAGGAGAATCACAAAGGGTTTGTTTTGTTTGTACAAGGTATGTGATTAAGTATTAATAATTTCAGTTTTTTTTTGTTGTCACATGGAAATAAAAATGTAACATCTGAATGTGCTGATTTCATATTGTATATTTAAAACTGTCTATACTAATTATAATAAAAATTTTGCTATTTGCTTTACATTAAAAACATTGTAGATATAAACAAAATATGAGGTAATGGTTATGAACTCAAATTAGTAAAACTTGTCTACAGAAATTTAAAGTCTGTGTTTGAGCCAATGATATTTGCTTTGATTGCTGAATCGGTAATCCACTGTAAATAATGGCAAGATTTAAGGAGTTCATCAAATTTCAAACATCTTATCTTGAGTCTTACTACTTATTCTCTGACAATCAATATGGATTCTGATCTTCTCCTTCTACTGCAGGAATGTTAAATGCTGTGACAGAAAGGTTCTATCATTTATTAGATAAAGGGGTCAAGGCAAAGGCATATCAAAAGCTTTCGATAAAGTTTGCTATTCTGATCATCTCCATAAGCTTGCTTCATATCATGTATCTGATAAAGTTTTTATGATTATTAAATCATTTCTTTCTAACTGCAGCTTTAAATTCATCCTTTAAAGCCAACATTCTTTAATTCCAGTAACTTCTTGGGTACCATAAGGTTCTATTCTTGGTCCTGTATTGTATCATATCTACATTGATTTTCATGACAATCTTACATCTAAAGTGGTTTAATTTGCTAAAGATTAAACTTTACACATCTGTATTGATCTTCAGTCTTATTTTTTTAACGCTTAGAACAGCCGATCTTGAGTCTGATCTAGTTTCTGTAACAGCTTCGGGTTCTTTGCTTGCCATTTTCTTACTCTAAATTCCATTCTTCCTGTATGAAATACTGTTGTCATAGTTAGGCTGGTTCCTCTAATGATGTTCTTTCTCTCCCATCTTTATGTTTTTCTGACTCTACAACATTTTCAAGTCTTTCTGTCAACTGTTTCTTTGCTTTTTAACAATATTCATACAATCTACAACGTTTTAAGTCTTCTGTCAACAGTTTTCTTGCTTTTTAATAATATTCTGTTTTCTAGTATCTCAATCGTATAATCATAATATTCTATTATTAGAAATAATCATAATAGTGGTTGCTTGCAGCCTTGTTGGAAGTAAATTAGTTAAAAAAAAACAGAAATAATTTACAATTGAAAATGATTTTTCAGTATAATTTTACACATCTTATTCAACTTACTAATGTCAGTTAATTTTATACCTCTAATACCTCTAACTACCTCTAATGTCTGTCTAGTTTTACACAAACTCTAGTCTAAGATTTGTGTCATTATGGTACATTCAGATGCTACATTTTTTAATTGAATTTCATTTCATTTAACAATAATTTAATAAAGCTTCATCCAACCACAAGATAGAAAAAAAAACTCACAATCTGAATGAAAATGATAAAATATTGATATGCAAAAGCAACAAAAATTTATTTTAACTGATTTTTTTTTTTTTAATTCAAAAACTTTGTATTAACTTTGAAAATCACATAAAGAATGTTTAGTATAATTTGTTATAAAAATATTTTTTTATCCAGAACCGAAAGAATAAGTAGCTTGATCAGTTGTGATTTTTGTCCTCTTGTCTTTCATCAAGATTGTCTGATGCCACCACTTGCACAAGAACCTATCGGATTATGGATGTGCCCAAATCATCCAGAAAACTTTGAAGTTAGTTGTAATCATATTTATTTGTAGTTTTTATCATTTCATATTATACTTATATAGTTATTATTGCTTTTTTAGATAGGCACTGTCCTAATATATTTAAAAAAGTTTTAAAATAATTTTTAAAAAGTTTTAAAATAATTTAAAATAGTTTTTTTTCAGAAAAAGAAAAAAGCAAAACAAAGAATAATAAAAAAGCAAAGCTTTTTTTTCCATCATTAAGGTTCTTCGTAGTACGAGCCAAACCCAAACAATTTAGGTACTAAAACTCTTAATTTCACAATGATGTCACTAATAATGTTTTATGCTAGGTTAAGTAAAATTATGTATATTTATTTTTTATAACCCCTATAACCAGGGGTTGGACAAAATGTGAACACTTAAAAAAAATTGAAAAATGTATTTTATTATGGGGTTGGACCTCCTTTGACAGTAATAACAATTTTGTGAGGTATAGAGTATAGACTCATAAAAATTATGAAAATTTAATAATAAGATTTAATAAGATTTTAAACCATACTTTGTTAAACCTGCCTTCTGTTGTTTTAATGTTAGTAATAGATATTGACTTCTCACTTTATTTATCAATGTGCACCACAAATGCTCAATGATATTTAGGCTATATATATGGATAAACTATAGATATGATGTATATATAAACTTATATGATATATAGATATGGTAATGATGTTCATGTGGTAAGACAAGGTGTTGTACTTCATCAGAATGTTCTATGTGCCATTCAGAGACCAATTGAGCTGTGTATAGGGCATTATCATCCTAAAATATTGCATTTCCATCTTATAGTTTTGGAACTTGTACAGTTCCAAAACTATAGGATGATCTTATAAAATGCCTAAATAATTGTGACTATTGATTCTTTCATGATTTCCAGCAGATTTCCATGGTGTTGCTGCCTGGATCATCACAGTTCCCCCTCCATATTTTACAGTAGGAAAAAATCAGTATGCTTCAAATGTTAGGCTGCCTCCAGACTCGGCTGGAAGTTGGAAATAAAGTGAACGATGATGATGAATGTGATATTAATCAGAAAATATCATTTTTTACACTACTAAATAGACCAGCTTTGATGATTTTTGCACCACTCTAAATGCTTTGCAGTGTTTGTTGTTGAGAGCAGAGGTTTCAGGATGGTAAATCTCGTATGAAATCCAGCTTTGTGGAACATCAGGCAGTTTTTGTAGAAACCGGATGGTCATTAAGCTCAGCAGTACCTTTAGCAGTTTTGTGGTCATTCCATACAATATTCCTTACAATTTGCAGTCCAGCAATCTCTATCTGAAACTTTCATTTTTCTCATTCTATTATCTCATTACATTTTTTAATGGTTTTACAGGGCATTTCAGTCATGCTTGTGCCTGCCATACAAACACTAGCAATTTGACCTCTTTGGAAATCTGATAGGTCTTCTAATGTTCAATGATTTTATCTAGTTAACTATAATCATATCTAAAAATAAATATATTTGTTAGAATTACAGACAACCAGCAATAGAAATGAATCATAATAAATCAAAATGTAACAATCTTTAATGGTTTTACAGACAATTGAAAATCAGGTTGGACTTATATTTGGTGTTTCATTATTTTGAATAAAACTAGGTTTACAAAAACTTTTTTATTTTTAAAGTATGTCAATAACAGGACCGTTTTTAAAGCAGCATTTTTGTTGTTGTGTGTTTACTCTGCGAAAATGCTAGTTAAAATGCCAAATCAAACAAAAATATAAACTATCTATAAAAAAAAATATCTCATTTATTAAGAAAAAAATTTCTTTTAGAAAATTTCTTTTATGTGTAATTTAAAACATTTTTTATTATAATAAAATAAATGCATAACATTATATAATAAAACTAAAATAAAATCTTTGGTTTTTAGTTTTGTGTTAATTCTGTGTTTTTTAAACAATAAAATACATATCGTATTTGGTTACCTTATGGTAACCAAATTGGTATCTAAGTTTGTATATATTGTAGTTGGTATATATTATTAGTTAGTATATATTATTGTACAAAGCGGTAAAGTTGTATTTTAAAGAAATTAAAACAATGTCACTGTTGCACCAAGTTTCCATTTTTAATTTTGAAGTATTTCAAACCTCAAGTTGTTATTTTTATTGATAATTTATTTGAAAGTCAGTTTTTTGTTGGTTTTATAAGTAAATGTTGACATGAAAATAAGTACCTTTTGAAAAATTATAAAAACAAATGACCAAACTAAAATTATCTGAGTTTTATTTTTACAGTGTATGTTACAGATTATCATTTTATTGCAATTCATCAGATCACCCTTTTCAAAAGAAAAAAAAGTTTGAATTTTATTGCAATTCATCAGATCACCCTTTTCAAAAGAAAAAAAAGTTTGAATTTTATTGCAATTCATCAGATCACCCTTTTCAAAAGAAAAAAAAGTTTGAATTTTAGTATTTATCAAAAATAAAGTATCAGTTAAATAAATAATTAAAAAATATTCTTAAATATTGTTTGAGTTAGTATTAATCAATTTTTTTTCATGTCATCCTGCTACTGATAACATGTAATCCAGTACAACTTGCTTCATAGAGCACAGTTAAAACACCTTAGAAATGGTCAGATCAAAATCAAGTACTTAAAATCTAGATTTCCAAATTAAAAATCAAATACAAATATATGTAATCAGAGTTTTCCAAATGATTTTTTTTTTTTTACTTTTTAAAACAAATTGAGAATTGTTTTAAATTTTTTTTTCAAAACAAATGCTCAACTTATTACTTCAAATTTTTAATTAGCTTTTGTTCATTCTACTTAGTAATGTATTTGTTTTTAATTTTAAGGAAAAATTTAAAGTAAATAGTTCTTATCTCAAAAATGTTTCTATTTAAAAAAAAAAAAAACTCTATTACTTATATTGTTACTGTATTTTACAAGGAAAATGTTTCTTTGAGTAATTTTAATTGTATTAAATTTGAAGTAATTAAAGAACAATTTGATAAATAATTAAAGAACTTGTAAGGCAATAAAAAAAACTACTATACTAAATAGAAAAATGAAAACAATTGTTTTAAGAAATATCATTTAAAAATAAATTTTTAAATTATTTTAGTCTTAAAAATGAAAAAGACTACAAGAAAAAAAACGAAATTTGAATACCAATAACAAATAAATGGTTTTAATTTTTATTTAAAAATCTAAATATTTAACAATTTAATTGAAAATATCTTGAGTATTTAACAGGTTTGTTCTTTATTTAACAAACTTAGCCAAAAAAATGAAATAAAAAATGTTTGATTATTCTGAATGTTATAAACTTTATAGGTAACTGAAATTTACGAAATGAAGCAACCTCCTAATTCTTGTTTAGTCTTTTTTTTTTATTTATCGCTATGTGCAAATTAGAATTTTATGACTTATGAACACATAATAATCTTTATTATTTTTCCAAGAAAATATTAAAGATTATTATGTAGCTTCAAATGATTTTGTTAAACAACATAGGTCATGCTGAAAGTATTACTAAAGAGAGATAATATATAATGGTATAAAAGAAAAAATATATAATGATATAAAAAAAAAAAAAATCTTTTGAAATCATATTTGTGCAAAGCCTAAGTAAATTGTTAGTCAAATGTTTTTGACATTCTGAATGTATGAATATTTTTACAAATTTCTATGATATTAATTTAAAGGTATAAATTTTGCCCTAAATATGAAAACTATAAAATCACTTATCTTTATATGTAACTAATGGTAATAAATAAGTTTATTATTATTATTAATAAATTATTAGCATTCTAGGGGGTAACTTATTTTGTTCTTGTTTATTTGATATATTTTAGCCAAGGCTCAGGATGTCTAAATTCAGTGAGAGAGCACGAATTATTGAAGAACTTCGTTCTAATGTTAACCACAATGCTGTGAAGTTGGATTTTTTTTTCAGAGCCAAGAAGTAATAATATATTTATTTATAGATTTACATATCTGTGTGTCAGAGTTTTGTGTATATAAATACAAATCTGTATATGTCAATTTGTATACAATATGTGTGTGTGTGTACACACACACACACACATACACACACACATTGTATAGAAAACATGCAGAGAAACGTTTTTTGCGCTTTCTCTTTTAGAGAAAATGAAAAAATGCATTGTAAACATAGTTGAACCTGCTCTTGAAGCCAACCTTCAGCCATTGTCACATTGTTGCAATGTCGTAATTGACTGATTTGAGATTTATAGAGATAAAGAATAGAATCCAGAGTAAGTGAGTGGCGAGCACGATAAAGAGATGCAACCTTATTTTTAATATATGATTTCCAAGAAAGATTGGAACTAAGAGGTAATCCTAGAAGATGAAGGGTAATGACTCATTGAGTGCATTACCATATATAAATATGGGAAGATCTAGATTGTTTCAATAACAGTTAGCTGAAAATAATTGGGATTATTCTAAAGTTCACCAGAAACTCACAAACCCCACTTCTGTTACATTGCTGTAACAGAAGTGGGATTTTTTTCAAGCTCAAATGCCCTTTAAGCAATCAGAGAGTGTTGGCTAATCAAGACAAGAATAAGAAGTCGTCCATAAAGTACATTCCTTTTTTTTTTTTGCAAACCCCCTCCCCGCATTTTGCCATGCGCTTTTTTGAGTCCCCTCTACCTCCCTAAAAGTACCTACACTTTTAACCTACCAACCCAACACTTTATGATATTTTTTTCAATTTAGTGTCTCCATACTTATATAATTGACCTACTGCCCCCTTATCTCAGAAACCCCATTTACAGACCCCTTCTTCCTGAGCATACTTTATGGAGGATCCCTAAGTGGTAGTATCATCATCAAACAGTGCCATTTTAAATGTGAGACTTTCTGAGACATCGTTTATGTAAATTAAAAAAAGTATAGGGCCCAGGATAGAACCTTGAGGAACCCCTGAAATTACAGGAAATAAAGAAAAGTGCTGTCTATTGAGGGAAACTTTTATATTGAGGGCAACTTCTATACTACAATTAGTAGGAAAGTATTCAATAATTTTAAAGATGCTACCTAATCCACTGTGAGAAGAGAGTTTTTGGAGAGGATCAGCATGCCAAACTTTATCAAAGGCTTTGGAAATGTCAAGAATGATAGCCTTAACATCTCCACATCTATCAAATGCACAATAAAACCTGTGGGTTTTTACTGTTAATAAATAAGCAGTATAATAAGGAGATCGAAATCCATATTGATGATCAGAAAGTAAGTTATTAGATTCAAGATGAGAGATTTAGTGTTTGTTAATTAAAGAATTAAAAACCTTACTTATGATAGGAAGAAGACTAATGGGATAGTAGTTAGATGAGTAAGTGCTCTCCAGAAATAGGGATAACAGATGTCGCTTTCCAGCAGGCTTGAAAACAAGACTCTGATAAACACTTGTTAAATAGTTGTGAAAGTATAGATGACAGCTCAGGATAACACTTCTGCAAGTCTATAACTGGAATGTTGTATATAAATGTATATATATATATATATATATATATATATATATATATATATATATATATATATATATATATATATATATATATATATATATATATATATATATATATATATGTATATACACATGCAGATATAAATGCATGTTTAGAAAAGCACTGTGGTGTCACACTAAAATAGCATGCTGCAGGGGCTTCATTACATAAATTGAATACTTTCAGCCACAAAGGAGTGCTGCTACACTGACTGAGGGTTAAATATATATATATATATATATATATATATATATATATATATATATATATATATATATATATGTATATACACATGCAGATATAAATGCATGTTTAGAAAAGCACTGTGGTGTCACACTAAAATAGCATGCTGCAGGGGCTTCATTACATAAATTGAATACTTTCAGCCACAAAGGAGTGCTGCTACACTGACTGAGGGTTAAATATATATATATATATATATATATATATATATATATATATATATATATATATATATATATATATATATATATATATATATATATATATATATATATATATATATATATATATATATATATATATATATATATATACATACATATACATATTTAGTTAAATAACAAATAAACAGAACAAATTTTTTTTGTTTGCTTGTTTGTTATTCACCAGAAGGCCACTACAGATGAGGAGGTTACTTAATAGTGATTATAACCCTCTCTCAACTCTATAACTCTGAAACATGAACCCTGACAATTAAGGCCGCTGCATGGAGAAGCAAGTTGAGCGCGGTACTACCAGGGACGTGGTGAGGATCGAACTCTGAACCTCTCGCTTATGAAGCGAGTGTTTTACCACTACACCACTACCTCATTGACTGAACTGAACATGAAATGGATAAACTTAAAAGAGTAAAGATACAAATATTTATTTGAATCTTTTTTATTAAAAAAGTGTTCCTAATAAATAGTAATACTTTAAATTAATTCTTATTGTAGTTTAAAGTAGTTTTATAACATATTGAAAAAGATTTAAGTTACTTTTTTAATTAATTGATACTTTTTGTTATATTCATTTTTTACATCTACATCATATTCACATTTTTTATGTTGTATAATATTTTATAGTTTTTTTTTTTGAATATGTTAAATAAACATATAGCATAAATGTTTAGTATAATAAATATTTATAATGTTAAGTATAAAGTTTTTTATTTACTCTAGGGAAAGAATATTAATGAACCGAAAAAATTATCAACCAAAAAGAAAAAGAGTTTGTCTGGTAAGTTATCTATCTTTTAATCTATGCATCTATATACTTATGTCTGTGTGTGCGTGTGTATGTGTGTGTGTGTGTGTGTATATATATATATATATATATATATATATATATATATATATTATATATATATATATATATATATATTAGGGCTGGGCAAGTTAACGCGTTATTATCGCGTTAACGCATTAATTAATTAACGCCGACAATAATTTTATCGCGCGTTAATGTACTTTTTATTTTGAAAGTCTAAAAAGTGAAAAGTAAACTTTTTAATTTAAATTTAATAGTTCATTAAACTAAAAAGTGACAGGGCTGCACAAAATTCATCAAAACAGACCTGTCAATCTTTAGTTTACAGAACTATTAAATTTAAATTAAAAAATTAATCTCCAGATTTTATTATTGTAAAAAAATATATTTTTTTGCTAAGTTTTTATGAAATTTTTTTTCCACCTATTAGTCTTTACAATGGGTTCATTATGAGTTTCTGCCGCTCGTTTTTTTTTAAGATTCACAAGCTTAACTTTATTTTTCTTTTGTGAAACTGTCTGTCAAAGTTTTCGTTTCTCATTTTATATTTTTTGCTTATTATTGCTTATAATTATTATTATATTAATTTATATTAGTATTAATATATTAAAAAAGCTATTTTGCATTTTGTATTTTTATGTTTATTTATAGTTTTGTTTATTTATTTTGTATTGTTTCAAAATTATGTAATAATCGAATTATAATTTAATTATTTATAATTCGATAATAATCGAATCATAAAAGAATTGAAACTTTCGTGCGTATTTATGTTATTGCTTATGCTCAAACAACAAGCAGTAAGTAAATTGAGAAATATTTAAAAATGGAAAAAGGTACCGAAATTTAAACGGACACTTATATTTTAAACCTCTTCAACAAGGAGTAGATAGAACTAAAGCTATTTGTAAACACTGCAAAGCGGAATTTTCTTATCATCGGAGTACTTCAAGTTTGAAGTATCACTTAAATGCAATGCACACCGTTGATGCTAACAAATCATCCACCCAAACAAACAGTGGAGGAAACCTTCGGCAGACTACGTTAGATGCAGCACGAGGGAGAACTACAGAGAAACAAAAGAAAGACAAGATAACAAATGCCATTGCAAAGTGGGTAGCTAAAAATTGCAGGCCAACTAGTATTGTGGAAGATGTCGGTTTGAAGAATGTTATTCGGATCGCAACGAATGACTGCACGTATGAGCCTCAGCCAAGACGCACCATTGTAAGAAAAATACATGAACTGTATGAAAACAAGAGGACTATAAAGGCAACGGCATTACAACGTGCACAAACTGTTGCCCTCACCGGAGACTACTGGACATCGCTGGGTAACCATAATTATCTCGGAGTAACTGTGCATTACATTGATGAACAATGGAAACTGCATTCACATGCTTTGACAGTAATGAAGACACAAGAAAGACATTTTGCTGAAACGTGCGCAGAACATTTCATTCATGTTGCACAGCAGTGGGACATTTTAAATAAAGTCAGCACACTTAGCACAGATTGTGCTAGAAATACTGTCGCTGCTGCAAGACATCTGCCTTTTGAACGCGTCCCTTGTGTCGCTCACAGTCTTCAGCGTTCTGTCACAGTATCTTTGCACAACAGCGCGTTTGACAATGCCCTGGCTAAATGCAGAAAGGTGGTGGGCCATTTTAAACACAGTCCAGCAAGTGCTGCAGAATTAGAAAAAAAACAAATTGAGCTTGGACAAAAGAAGGAGTCGTTTATACAAGACATTCCAACCAGATGGAACTCGACTCTGGACATGATAAAAAGTGTTCGCAGAAACGAACAGCCACTGAGCCATGTCCTCACCACACACAACACAAAAGTTGCTATGCCAACTCCAGCTGAAATGGACAAATTGCAGAGGTTGGAAAAGCTCCTAGAACCCTGCAGGTATATTTTACATCATATATTTCTTACTGACTGGTTTGATTGCATGTGAGAGAATTGATGTGTCTGTATTTGTGCGTAAGCATGAACATGAGAACACTTTTTGTGTGTATAAGTGAATGCAAAACATTTGAGTGAAATGGGTTTTATTTTTTGCAGGTATGTGACTGAACTTCTGGGTGGAGAAAAGTACGTTTCATGCTCTGTGGTTCTGCCTGCTTTATGCCATCTCTCTCGGGTGATGGAGAGCTCAGATGATGACCCGGCCTATGTAGTCAAATTCAAATTTATGTTCAGAATAGATCTGGAATCACGCAAGGAAAATGCCAACATTGCATATCTAAAGATTGCAACCGCATTGGACCCGAGATTCAAAGACCTCAAGTGTATATCCAGAGTTGAGAGAGGTGAGGTGTGGGTCTCAATCACTAACTTACTCAAGGAACAGAGGGTTATTGCAGATGAACCTGTGGAAGCAGCAACATCAAAGCCATCAAAGAGAAAATTTGCTCTTCATTTTTGCTTCAAATTTGCTTCATCAGAGTCTGATTCTGAACAAGAGGAAGACTCAATTGAAAACGGTGTGCGTCGGTACAAAGCAGAGCCCACCATCAGTACAGAGGCCTGTCCATTACAGTGGTGGTCCAAACATGCAGGCTCACACAACAGGCTGGCCTCAATTGCACAGAAGTACTTGGCAACACCTGCAACATCTGTTCCTTGTGAAAGATTGTTTTCTCTTGCTGGTCATATTGTACAAAAGAAGAGAGTTTCTTTATCATCTGAAAATGTGAATTACCTTGTTTGTCTTAGTAACTGGCTTGATGCAGATGAGTAAGTGAAGTTGGAAGAATGGATAAAATTGTTTAAAGTTTTGACAAACCAAAAGTTATGTTAATTTAACTATGAAAAAATAAATTTACGCTATATATATACTACTTGTGGTTTTATTATTGAATTTTTCGTATTTCTGCGATTAATCGCGATTAATCGCAAAAAATCATGCGATTAATCGCGATTAAAATATTTAATCGTTGCCCAGCACTAATATATATATATATATATATATATATATATATATATATATATATATATATATATATATATATATATATATATATATATATATATGTATATATGCACACATACACTATTATATAAAAATATAGCTGTTGTCTGTCTGTCTGCGGACTTTTTCGTTTTCCAAGGTAAACTCGAAAACTATGTTACTTTAAAAAAAATTAAAAACTAAACTTTGTTTGTAATCAATGCGAAAGTGGTCTTAGCAAAAGAAAAATTAAAAATAGTCAATGTGAATTTTTCAAGATTTATGGTTGTTTCAGTAAAGGAAAAATAAAATGTTTTTAAATACTAAAAAAAACACGCCATTGAAATTTATTTGATGTTATTTGACGTTAAATCAACATGTACAACTTTTTTTTTGATATTGCCAAATCAGGTTATTTAATTCATTTAAAATTATTATTTTTTGTTTAGTTTATTTTTTTTTTGGTTTGCAACTTTTACTTTTAAATCACAAAAATTAGCATAATATATTTGATTTAAATTTGTTAAACACATAATGTATTATTATATTTTATATATAGGTTTGTAGTGAGCTAGATGCTTAGGTAGTAGCTATGATATAAGTGGGCAACTAGTAGCTTTTTAACAGGTTATGTAATAGTTAGACAACAGGTTATGTTTTAGCATTTGTAAGCATTGTAGTGTGCAGGTACCCCTTGGGGGTACCTGCACACTACAATAGGGTTTTTTTTTTTTTATTTGCATTCACTCCCAACAAGGCTGCAAGCAACCACGATTAAGTTGGGAATTACTAGAAAAAAAAGAACAGAGTTATAGAGCAAGGAAACGGTTGACAGAAGACTTGAAAAGTTGAAGGCTGTATGAGTCAGGAAAACATGAAGATGGGAGAGAGTTCCAAAGGATTGAAGTGCGGGGAAAAAAACTAGATGAATAAAAGTTTTTAGAGCATGCAGGGACAGATACAGTAAACGAATGAGACTTAGCTGAATGACGAGTAAAACGAGAATGAATTTTAGTTGATGGAACTAGAGATGATAACTCCTTTGAGCAGTGACCATGATAGTATTTGTAGAAAAGAGAAAGAGATGCAACTTTATGACGATGGGAAAGAGGTTCAAGCTTAGCAGATAGTCTAGGTCCAACAACATTTACAATGCGTTTTTGGACCTTGTCAAGAAGAGAAAGTGAATCGTTAGAAGAACCAGCCCAAATATGACAACAGTATTCCATACAGGGACGAATAAGAGATTTGTAGAGGTAGAGAATGGAATCAGAGGTAAGAAAATGGCGAGCACGATAAAGAGAAGCAACCTTAGCAGAAGCTAATTTAGCAATCGATTGTATATATGGTTTCCATGAAAGGTCAGTAGTAAGCAATAATCCAAGAAGACGTAAAGAGGAGGACTCAGTAAGAGGATTGCCATTCATTAATATAGGAATGATAACCATATTACGGTAGTTGTTTGCAGTAAACAACTGGGCTTTGTTAGAGTTGAAATTCACAAGCCACTGTGAACCCCAATCTATTACTGAAATGAGATCGGATTCAAGATTAGCTGCTTGTTCTAGGCGATCGAAAAGAGAAGACTTTTTGTCAAGACAGGAGTATAAAGTTGAGTCATCAGCAAAAAGAGCTACTTTAGATGAAAGGTTGTCAGGAAGATCGTTTATGTAGATAAGAAACAAAACAGGGCCCAGGATGGAACCTTGAGGAACCCCAGAAGTTACTGGAAATAAAGAAGAGTGTTGGACTTCAAGGATGACTTTAATAAACCGGTTAGAAAGAAATGATTTGATAATCTCAAAAACTTTCCCAGAAACACCATATGAAGCATACTTATGGAGAAGACCAGCATGCCAAACTTTGTCGAAAGCTTTAGATATGTCGAGAGCAATAGCCCTAGCCTCACCACCTCCATCTAATGCACGATAAAATCTTTCAGTTACAGCAGTTAGCAAGTCGGCCGTAGAGCGAGAGGATCGAAAACCGTATTGATTGTCTGACAGTAGTTTATT